GTGTGTGTGTGTGTGTGTGTGTGTGTGTGTCAGAGTCAAAAAGCGGCAGCTGTCTCATACACGCAATGCACACATCCATGCATGGAAGCCACCCACACAGAAATTATTGCCGCACATTGTTTTTTCTTTCATAGATGTTCAGACAGGACTCACACTGAAGCATTTTTATGGTCAGCATGCAGACACTCTCCGCCTTGACAACCCACTACTCTCATATACTACCTTTTTATTTACTTCCTGGTCTGCAAATTACCAGTATAAAGTTGTCTTCTCATCTGACATGGCCAACCCTTCTCTTCATGTTTTGACTCATATGCTGCGGTTCAATAGCTCATATTGACTTAAGCCACCAAACACCAGGGAGATGTTCTGTATTCATAAAAGAGGTAGGCAGGGAGACAATCGAGTGAATATAATGGGTATTGGGATTTGCGGCAGGTTGGTAGACGTCTATAGCTTGAAGTGAGGTGTTGGCCTGTACGTCTGTCATTGACTGCAGCTCACGCATGACGACGGCAGCCCAGAGGTCTTCCACCTGAGTCGCTCCATTATCTGAGTGGACCACCTTTGTCTCACAGCTCTATGGCTGAAAATGAATGCACGGTAAGTGGTCTAAGCTAGCAGGCGTCACGAATGGACTGTGTGCGTGCATGCCTGCATGTGTACTGGGGTGGGTGACAAGAGCCTTGCTACGTGCTAGCTAAATTTCAATATCCACACAAAATTAGAGAGAACATCCATCCATCCATTATCCAAGTTGCTTATCTTCACGTGGGTCACGGGCGTGCTGGATGGAGCCTATCCCAGCTGTCTTGGGGTCGTACACCCTGAACTGGTTGCCAGCCATAGTCCAAAAAAATGTACATTGTGTTTTTCTGCAGCGTAGCACTGTTATTGGACAGCTGAAGCTTCCCGAAGCCTGCCACACACTGAGCACCACTAAACATGACCAAACCCGACAATCAGATTGAAATGAAAGTTCCTGACTCACATCTGGCGATTGACCCTTGAACTACCAACTCGCAAGAAAAGTGCCAACCACTGGTGTTCTTTTCGAGAAGTTTTGAGTCCATATCATAATACAGCAGAGTGCACGTGAAGCCACATGCACTCTGCTTTATTGTGTTTCACTGTTCTGAACCACTAACAACACAGCACGATTGTCAAGGAAGAAGCAAAGCAAATTGCCCTGGTCACAGTAAGGTTTTTTTTAATCATGATATAAAAAGAGGAAACAGGTGAGAAATAAAGGAGAGAGTGTAGATATTTGACAGGCTGTTGTCAATCATCACCCCATTCATTGACTGCACTGGTGCATGTCAGCGACAAGAGACTCTCCATGCAAGAGCTGTGTAATATAACAATACAGTTTGTCGTAAATACGACGTGAAATGTCTATTGTGCGATATAATCCTCCTCGATCATGTATATTGGTGTATATACGTTGCTTGTTAAGGACTCATTGAACTGCTGAATGTTCTGTTCTTTACGCTTGGCACATTTCATGCCGTTGTAAATCAGGAACAAGCAAACTGACATGTATATTTCCATCCTTTTGCATCACCTCCTTTGTCAATTAATACGCAATAAATACGCATGTTGAGGTTTAGGTTAATGCGTGAAGTGCGTCATCAGTGTGTCCATTTATTCGCTAACTTAATTCGGGTGGTGATGATGACTTTCTGCACAGCAGGATTTCAAGTAGCTATATATTTACGTTTACATATTTGCCTACCTTTTGGGACATGTATGAATCTGTATTTTGTGTTATTTTGTGCAACAGTTTCGGTTTGAACTGCATTTATGAACGCTGTGCTGAACAAACTGCGTAACTTTAATGCTCATGTGGTGAGACCAGAGGGAATCCTGTCATTTCTTCTCCTTCACGTTTACTGGATGTAAAGTTAACTACAATTCCCAGACGAATGTTGGACCTTCCTTCTTCCTTATGAACAGGAATACCAAAATATATACAGTACATTTAATTTAATGCAAAAAGCTCACGTATGATGTTAATTGACAGAGAGAAAAACAAAGGGGACATTTTCACAGGCTAATTTCAGGTGGTTTTAAAACAAAATGTTGCTCCACTTAGTTTAATTTTTTTTAGAAAATAGTTGGAATTTTTGTATTTCATTAACGAAAATGGTTGAATTGAATTCTTTCATTTGATTCATGTTTTCTATAATAACCTTGACCAAAACCTGTTTTTATTATGTTTGTCGTATTTAGGTATGAGGGACTCAGGCATCATATTTTATTTGTATGACACCACTGCAAACTACAATCACAATATGAAATAATTGTTAAATCAACGCCTCTCTGATCGTGTGTAACCTGCTCATTATCTTTTGAAAGGTAAAAGGTTTCATACAACTATTGTGGTGCATGTGTTGGCCCATCTATTGTCTCTGAAATGGCTCAATAAGTGCATATTTCTTTTCATTACGTTATCCTGTTTCATTTACTCTAATTGGCCTTCAGAAGTTAATAAAAGCCTTTGGGGAAAAAAGCAGCCTGTCAAACTGGGAGACAACGTTTGTTTTATGAGTACTTTCCGAGAAGTCGACAGACCGGCTGGCTAATGGGCGGATAGCACCAGCCCACTCACTTAACAAAGTGTGGGGACAGGTTCGTCCCTGCGCTGACCCATGACCGATGTGGTCGGCTCCGGGGTAATCTGTCCACTCCAGCACTACCATTTAATTTTCATCACGCTTTGTAAGACAAAACAGGCAACTTGATGTGAGGGTTGGGATGCTTTCTTAAGAAGTATAACCTGAAATTACCTTGAGAGAGTTTGAAAGAGTTTGATTCATTTCGATGGTATTGACTGTTTTCGCATTTTCAACACTGTTCATCATGATTATGCCAACATTTTTCAAACCGTGTTTAAAAATCCTAATGGAGAGTTGGGAAATTTCAATTTCCAATCTGGATGAAGGTGTAAAACCATCAATTTCCTTTCCCTCTTGAGGTCATTGGAACCTTTATTTACAACCAGGATTCTCTTTTGTCATTTGATATATGAGTTTTAGCGTGTAGTGCTCTCTATTCATTATTGTTATTTATTTTATTTTTTTTACAAAAACTTGGAGACTGAACCTTCAATTTCAGTCTACTTGTTACAACGTCAGTAAATACATTTTTAATGTTGATTTATCTTTTTTCTTTATTAGCGTACCGCTGACTTTACCAGCTAGCTTTGGGTGAGAGCCCAATCAATACTGATTGCAGTATTTGAATGCTGCCTCACTTCACTAATCCCACCCCCTTGAGTCACTGCACTGTATTTAAAAAAAAAACAAAAAAAAACATGTTGGGTGAAATCTGTCAGGTTCTGGACTGAACCGAACAATGTTTTTGGATTCCAGAAATGCAGGCTCAGACAAAGTGTGATGACAAAAATATTTATTAACAGAAAAGCGCACGGGCAAGGAGAAGCAATGCAAAAACAAAAGCGCTTGCAAAAGGCAAGCTACTGGAAACACCAAGAATAAACGAAATGTCAAGAAGCCAGTAACGCAAAGCCAAAGATCAAAAGCAATGCGGAAAAATAAAAATACCTACAAACAAAAATCGATGAATAACAAGAGTGACTATGGAGAGCATAGAGAGGTCCCGAAAACAACACTTGAAGCATTACAGCGAGCAAGGTCAATAATCCGACAAGCGACGAGGCAGCTTGGCAGTCCTTAACAAACAAAAACTCATGACAGTAAAACATGAAACAAAACCAAACCTAATCGAAACAAAAAACAAATCATGACACCATCCAGAAAAGCAGAATTCCACTGATTATCTGTAGTAAGACCGTAGTAAGAAGAGCTGATTACGACTGGACTTATCTACAGCTACGTGACAACTTGTTTGTGCAGTAAGAATTGAGACAGTTTGGTGCGAGGTGTGTGCGGCTCCCAACAGGTCAGTACTATCAATTTCTGCAAATAGAAAGCTAGCACAGGAGCAATTAAGAGGATTAGTATATCTCTTAACCTTGTAAACATCAGCATACCATTGGAAGTTCTATTTTTATTTTTTCTGCTGTTTTTCGTATTTGTTTTCAAAGCTTGTAACCTGAGTGTTTTCTTTACACCATTGATTTAATATTTTCTAAAGAAAACAGGAATCCTATAGCTAAAAAAAACTTGATGAGAGAAAACTGAGATCTGTTTTGGATTATGCACCTTGAAAAATTGTTAAAAATAGCTGTCAGGCCTGACTAGCAAAAATTGTGGTCCCCAGTGTTTGTCAGTACATTTTACCTCTGGCAAAGGGAACCCAGTGGTCGACTCGCTCTCCTCCTTGATCTCATGGTAGCATGTTCAACACAAAGGTTCCCATCCCCATTACTCATCAAGTACCTTTTCCATAGAGAGGAATATTGCTTCTTTCTCGGCGTCAAAAGACAAGGGCTTGATGCCGTGTATTGCAGCTTAAAGGACACTTTGCTCTTTTCAAATTTTTCCATTGTGAGCGGCGAGATGAAAAGAGCCTTTTCAACATGTGGCCGAGCTTTCATGTCTTCCCTCATTAAGGAGAAACTTTCCTTTGATTGAGTCGAGGTCTGAGGCCAGTTTGGCCAGACAATCGGCCCGTGGACGACTTCAGCAGCGCACAATGAGGAGGCAACAAAGATGTTGTCTGAAATCCCTCTCGAGATGTTGGGCCCTCGCATTTACAATTACAGTAAAGAGCCTCAAAGTGAGGCTTTGTAACTCCTCTCATCGGACTCCGCTCACGGCCAGTTGAGGATAAATCCAGCAGGACGGGGAATGACTTGAGCCTCTTTGAATACATCTCTGCTCATGGCAAATCCTTTTTGAATCGCTTAAGGAGTCTTCCCTTACAAATATGATCATGCAAGTAACTGACAGGTCTAGAGATGGATGGATTGAAGAAGATTGAGTAAGCGTGATATAACCTCAAAAATGGAAATTGAAATACACACACAACACTGATGGAGTTGATTTTGGATTCAAGAGAATACAGCGCAGTCATTTTTTTTAACATTTTAGCACTACAATTGCTCGAGAGAATTGAGAATTGTGAGCTGCAGAAAAGAATGGAAATGCCTCTTTCTCTGCTCCACAAACGAAAACATCAATTTTACCCTCTCTTTTTATGTTTTTACTGACGCTTCGTGATCTAATTGCAAATCGGTCTTCCTCGTGTTTACAACTTCATTTCCTCTTGCGGTTTATTCCAAATGTTTGTTTAAATACATTTTTATCATCTTTCCAGACAATAAATGCTTTATAGGCTAGGTTAATTACTGAGCATGAAATTTAAACAGCAACAAGAGACATTATAAATGTATGACTGCTTTTAAAAGGCCTGGGAAGAAAATTGAAAATGAAATGGTGAATTTTCCATGCCGGTGATTTTTCCATCGGAAAGCCGGTTGGGCCAATAAGAGGTGAGCTTTTGTTCCCGTTATCACACATTGTTCATTTGTCTCCCAACCGGAAAGCCGTGTTAAGATAACGGCATCCTATCATCAGATTGTCTTATCAAAGTAAAGAGCGACACAGGAGCTCAGTCGGGGTGAACAATCAAGTCAGTCTGGATGAAAAGGTTAATTGCCGTACGCTCTCAGTTCAAGTTTGGGTCTAAATCAATGCGCGTACTATTTCAGGAAGATTTGTTTGTGACCTGTCACTTTGCTGCGTATTAATACACCCGCCGTGTGTGCGGTCGTACTCGAGCCCTGTGTAATTTCGTTCTGGTTATTTCAAGTGCGTGAGCGTGCAAGTCCTTACACAGCGGTTGACACTGAGGTCAGTGGAATTGCCCCACTTGAACTAAAAGACATTTAGTTTGGTTTGGAAAGTGAAAACTGGAACACCGTTAATTTGTTTGCTCTTCCACTAGTCAAGACCAGCCGCAAATGCCATCACCTCAAAGAAGCAGTCGGCCGTCCTCACTTTTATTTGTTTGTTTCTTTGGAGGGGTGTGAGAAGTTGCGGTGGACGTTGGACTTTTGTGGTGGGGGGGATGCTGGGGGGTGGCAGGCGGGATTCATTTAGCCAGGCATAGCTGCTCTTGTTTGTGGTTGTCCCTGACAGCGTCGCCAACGCCGCTCCAAAGCACCTGTGTTTGCTCACTAGCTTTCCCCAATCTGCTCGAAAAACGCTGCGAGCATGTCACATGGCGGCCAGATAGCCTCGGCACCATGGGAATACAAAAGCCGGGGCTTTTAGAACAGTTAATCATTAATGAAGGCCTCTCTTTTGTTCCCATTGAGCTCGGTGCTGACAGAGGCTTTGATATTACATATGGCAGACAGGTCGCATGCAGATATGGCCAAGTACACCGACTGGGCCGAGCTGTCGGGTCGCTGGATCCGCGGCGATGACGGCGGGCAGGAGGGAGAGGCCAAAAGCCATCTGCGGAGGACAGGAAGGACACGTCGGCTCATTTCCTTTGACATGACTTTCGGTGGCATTTTCCGGCGCGCGCTTCCAACAGATTGAGGCGAGAAAGAAAATCTTTCACGTGGTCTGTGCAATAACAGTAAACAAAACATTGATAAGGGGCATTTTGAAGACCAGAGACATACACACCCTGCCCAAATGATAACCGGTTAGCTGGAAAAGACAAGTGGCAAAGGTTTATACATAATAGAGCATAATCAAATATCATTTTACCTTTTATTGTTATTATTGATTGGCTAGGCATGTTTTGTGATGGACTATATGACAATTCTTGCACTGAACTACAGTGTAAAAAGATTTTTTTTTTCAAAAAGCAAATAGTTTGTATTAATACCACTTAACAAACAGCTTACAGTATTTGGCCACCTTTTTGTCTGATATCCAGCAAAAAGACAGGAAAATACTCTTAACTCAATTTTTTTCTTTCCAGGGTATTCATATTTGTGACCTTAACTGTACTGTCAACATTAACACAAGCATACATATCAAACTTTGTTTTCTTTGTGACTCACCTTTCAAATACAAGCAGGCACAAGGGACTGGTTAAGAAAGATGAGGAGACATTCTTACAATATATCCCCAAAATCGCATAAGAATTCGAAAAAAAAAAACATGTTTTGGAAGTTTCCGGGCCTGAATTTGCAATGATTGGCAGAAGGTAATAAACAGAAATCTACCAATTAATTAACATCCCCTAATCTCAGTTTGCTCTCCATTTTGTCCTGTCAATGAGCCAAAGTCTAATTTCACGCTCATCACACGGTGCCCTGGAAAAGGTGGAGATAAAAAAAAGAAAAAAAAATAGTGGGGGCATTAATTTACTTTTCAGAAAGAAAGAGGCCAAATTTATCTCGAAGGGAGATTAGGGGAGGATTTACACAGCCACAGTTTTATAAAGCTGCACTCAAAGGGTCAGAGACGCTCTTATCATCCTTTTGCCTCCAAATTCCAACGGTTATTTATTGAAAGTTTGTCTCGCGCCCACCACGAATGCCCCTCGGTGCTAATCATACTGTATGAAAGTCAGACAGAATAGTGGGAAGGATTTAGTGGTGAAAACGTGGCCACTCAAAGCAGGATGCTTGGTGTGCCTTAAGTCAATCATTAACGTTCGGTGATACCTGCGACTGGCACAGGACAAAGACAAATGGAGGATTTGTTTCGGAGAATTCACTCGGTTACCTGACTTTGATGATCTGGCAAACATGGCTGCCTCGTTGCATCTTTGCAGCGTTTCAGGTCACCCCTTGACTTTTGCCGTGTCAATCTAATGTTTTGATTCAAAGTCCATACTGCCGTTAGGTTTGCTATTTTAGCAAGTCTACAATGACCGTTTAGAGCTGGAATGTCTAAGGAGAAAAATAATATCGTGAAGCGTTGTCCCTAAATGAATAAATACAGTTTTGTTAAAAAATGCATTGCATTTTTCTGTAATGCTACTGTTTTAATATGACTTTTTTTTTGTTTGTTTGTTTAACACATTCAAATATCTTGCTCTGAGATTGAAATTAATTAAAACACCAACGCGACATTTGGTCTATTAATTTTAGCATGTGAACTACAAACATTTCCTCGATTGAAAAAGGGGTTAATCAAAACTTTTTTTTTTTTTTACTTTGGGGATGAGATAATGGCTCTAAATGTTCTGACCTCCTTTTTCCATGCCAGTGTCTCAATGGGCAGACGAGTGCTGAGTTTTTTGTTTGTTGTTTGTCTTCATGCCACAAACTAATTGAGACTGAATCAATACCTACGATGCTCTCCATTTTGCCTCATTTGTACAAAGCATGAATTAATCAACAATTGATTCTTTACAAACAACCCGAATCTTAACATTCCCGTTCACTGTTTATTAATATAAGTTAGAATGTAAAACACAAGGACCAAAAGCACTCAATGTGGACCAGTCGACTTCTTTCTGCATCTTCATCATTGTTCTATTATTTGTAGTCGCGCATTATCAAAAGGCAAATTGATGAAAATATGTTTTTAATTGCTCTAAATTCTTGCATTTGCAGCTTCATCATTATTCCCAAACAAAACGGAATTAGTTGTGCTTTGGCCTTTTCTTTGGCCTTACCCCGCAGGAGCATATTGTGGAAGTCGTTTTGGGGATTAAAAATTTCCGTAGTTGGCATTTGACAGTCACTGGGAGGCCATTTCGAAATTGTTCTCTTCATTTTGAGAATATCTCCCATCCTCACGGGCGAGCCTCACACAAGCGTAAATCTTGTCTCCGCTTACAAGCAGCTCGACTGCACTCACTGACTGCCGAATATTTATTTGCTAACCCTGGTCACGGACGATAAGGGTCACTAGTGTGACCAAACTGTAACTCTTGGTAACAAGCGCCCTTATGTTTCTAACAACACATGCTCGGCGTGACAGCAAAATAGAGAACAAAACCTATAGGTGATAATAAATTCTGCCGCGGGCTATGAGGAAATAAATTAGGCCGAGGCGAGTCAAAGGATGGGCTTAACAAGTGTATGCTTCAAACAACAGTTCCTGTTTCGGGAGGGAAGGTACGCGCGTGATGGATGGCTCTGCAAACATAGTTGACATACCTGGCCAATGCCATGGGCCGGTCACAACCCACGAGTGAGAGGGATATTGTGTGAGCCTCGGAGTGTGTTTGTGGTCGAGTGCGCGCAGTGCACGCATCGGCGTGTTGCTCTTCCCTTGCACGCGAGGCTGCCCCTCTTCCCTCCTCTGCTGAGCTCGGCCCGCGGGGGGATCACTTGAGTCAGCGGAGCCCTGTTTGACAGAGACACAGGCTCCGGATAAATTCCAGCTTTCTGCTCGGAACGCTTTGGATCCGTCCTCGGGGAGTCCGCATCTCAAAACACTCAAATAGTCTGGGTGCAGAGATAAGCAACCGGGCTGGAATTAGACTCTCAAATTCTCAATTCCTTAAAGAGTGTCGTTCCACCTCATTTTAAGTTCGCCGGGCTTTTGTTTTTTTTTTTTTCGTCCTGAATTTAGCTCATGAATTCCTATCGTATATTGTTTCTATCTTTTATACATGAGGCGTATACCTAAAGCAGAAATGGAAATCTATCAAGATTAAAATGTATGTCCGGGATGCGGGAGCGGAGTAGGTGACGGGTGTGTGCAGCCCGCTGCATGGATGAGTGGTCAACCTTTATTGGGAATGTTTCGTGAACTCGCCCGTCACATTCAAGCATGTGTGTTAAAGGTGTTTACAGGGTGTTGACATTCACACATTGGCACCGAGGCACAAGCAGCCATGTCTGACTGAGCTGGAAGAATGGAAAAAAAACAAATTACTGCTCTCAATATTTGTCCTTCAAGTGGTTTCATTGAAAAAAATGGTTGTTGTTATTAGCAGGGAGAGGAGACGGTTATTTTGTTTGGAACAGTTAATGAATTGTGGTGATGAAAGCAGCATTTTGCAACAATAACATCGTATATTTATACCTTGTTTTATTATTATTATTATTATTATTATTATTATTGTTATTATTATTATTTTTGTTGCTCATCGAATGTTTTTCAGACTTATTTGAGGGTGGGGGGGGGGCGTTGCACTCCCACGTCCATAAATAATTTCAGTTTCAATGTCGTGTTTTATTTGTTGTTGATTTTGCTGTTGTTGATTTTAGGTTCGATCCTTATCAGATTTTTTGTTCCGCTGCTGATTTTTTTTTTCTTGTCAAATACAATTGTCTGGTTTTCATTGAGTAAAACATATTCCAAATATATTGTGAGATTACGTTTTCTGTGTGTGTTCAGATATGAAATGTTGTATTGTACAGAAATGGTTTATTGCATGTTTTTGTGTGTATGTGTGTTAGGAAATAAAACGTTATTTTACTACATAAAAAATGATGTCTGGTTCCCTGCTTTTTATGGTGGCAAATACGATTTTGTTATTGGATGTTTATTGAGCTTTATGTTTTACATTTTTATTAAATAAGTGGTATCAAATAAGAACCAACATGTTCCATTTCTAATTCATTATGTACTTCATTAATTATTCAATTCGAATTATACACTTTTTTTAAAATTTCTGCTCAATATTTTTAAATGTATCTTTCGAATGGCGAAATAAAACATTGTAATTTCATGATGCACAGCACAATTACGTGAAGGTATTCAGATACGGCTTATGAGATGACTTAGCAGTAAAACGAAGCTATGGAACCCCCCATAGGCCAAAACAGAACACACACATTATAATATAAATGTAAATATTGTGTGCCTCAGTAGAAACGTGTAAGGCGCGTGCCAATTTTTCAAGAAGAGACACGATCAATCAAAACACCAAATAGCATATTTGAGATGAATATCTTGAGACGTGGATCAAACATTAAACATTATTTTCTTCATATAGACACATTTGGCGGAGTATTTCATGATGGATTTAAGTTCAGGCGATATTAGAAGTGCATTTTCGGGTGTGGAAAAAATGCTTTGGGTTGCCACGGCGTTGGTCCGTGCGGCTGTCTGACCTTGTGACCACCCACAGAGAACATGAAGCCAACAGCTCGGGCCGTATACCCACTGACCCACAGGTGACAAAAGCTCATGTGAAGGTGTTGGGCCACAGGTCACGTGATATCGCGTCAACGTTTCGCCACGAATCCACACACTCCACCAGTGTGTGTGTGTGTGTGTGTGTGTGTGTGTGTGTGTGTGTGTGCGCGTGTGTGCAGGTATCACTGGGGCTCCACTGTTTGCGGTAATTGGAAGAGCGTTGTAAGTTTCCGACGTGACTCACTCACGCCTCTTTTCTCTTGACTGTGAAACTGGAAGATTGCAGGTCTCGGTGAACTTACAAAGCGAGTCCTCTTAACTCATAAATTACACGGCCGTGGACAACCTTAAGCGGTGTTGAAATGCCTCGAACAGAGCTTTATTTCAGTGCTGGCGGAGCGTGACGCTGAGAGCACCACCCCACAAGGAGCCCGGCTCTCTGCAAAAAAAAAAAAAAAAGACAGCGATTTAGCTTGTCATAACTAAGGTATGACGTACACCAAACCAGGATGTGAACACGGAGCACCCGACGTGATCATGAGGAGATGCCGCACTGCATTTCCTGCATGTGCAATAAATGCGAATGCAATTTTTTTTTCCCTTGCCGTTTATTTGCAGTCCTCTGAAGGCTTTTCTTCTCTTGGCGCAGTCTTGGAGGTTTGCACAGTTACTGGCTCTTTGAAATGTCATTCGATGGATTAAGAGCTTTTCAGTAAAACATTGGGAAGTGAATAAGAGCTGAGAAAAATTTCGAGCTCCATCTGCATCGAATATGTGCGGCAACTAACTGCAGCAAATTACATCGTAAAAACAGGAGAAAATATTTGGTCGAACAACAAAAATGTTTAAATGAGCAAAAAAAAAAAAAAATCCATTGACATCGAAAGTCAAGTGTATTGTTTCACTGGTGAGTCTTTTAGTCTTTGAAATTACTGTAACTGTACTTATATTATTTCTAATGTGATTTTATCAGTAGGTCCTTTTTATTTTTGGTAAATGTACTTATTGTGTGTTGATCTACTTTGTGTTTTTAATTACAATATATTATTTCATGTGTTTATTGGGGTTGTGTGGTCGGGGTAGTGTTTCATTTAATTCAAAAAAATTCAAATAAAAACTTATCATAATGGTGACACTGTCCAGAGAATCACTTTTCTGCTTTTTTTTTTCTCTTCACAACATCATATTGTGTAAAAATCATCCCCAGGCTGACCACCCAGGGGGTCCTTGACACCGCAACCTTTACAGAGGGGGATGGGCCTGTGTGTGTGTGTGTGTATGTGTGTGTGTGTGTGTGTGTGTGTGTGTGTGTGTGTGTGTGTGTGTATGTGTGTATTTAGGCAAGTGTCTGCTCACATGCATGAATATGCTCCTTCATCTTATGTGAATTGATCCTCCGCTGACAGCCCGCCACTCTCTCTTTATTGTTGTTTATTTGTTGGTTGCTTGGTTTGAAGTCTAATTTATTGGTGTTCTTTTATTCCCAACCGCCTTCTGCAGCAAGGAAAGAAGGTGGACGATGTTACGTGTTGGGAGAGCGAATACACAAGCGGGAGAGACGTGGTTAATGTATACGCAAACAGAAAACAACAGGACAAAACAAAAGAGCGCAATAAGGATCCAGTGGCGGTAGCCTCGCTGTTTGCCAACTCTCCTCTTTCGGTCATATCATGAGCGACACGCTGAAAAGCCCTGGGAGACCTTCTGCCTTTGCGTGTAAAAATGACATTGTGATCGGGACACTTTCTTTTAAGTTACACACATTTTGTTGTTCCCCGAAGATGCTCTGTCTTGAGTTTTGGGCGCACTCGAAGACCTCCTCTCGAGAATCATTCTCACAAGTCAGTGCTTGACTTGTGCTAAGAAGGGAAGAGGGGTCAGCCATTGTCCCCTTCGTCGCCTTTCACGGCAAAGCGAGAACACGCGAAGGTGAAGCGAGATACGATAACCTGTCCAATTAGAGGCTGTTGACGGACAAATGACCATACAGTATGCCGTTTAACGGGAATTAAAAGTATCAGGCAGCTGGTTTCTTATCTGGCCGAGTAAGAAGAAGGCAGGCAACAAAGGGAGGCCTAAGACTAAGAGGCTTGATGCATGGGAAAGCCATGGGCCGGCCATTGTGGCTGCCCTTCTGCTAAGCAAATAGTCCAAACTGTTCATTCCCCATCTCCCATTCTCTCGCCGGTACATTGTTTGTGTCCTTGCATTTCATTCTGACTGGGGAAGATTGCCTCTCAGGGCCAGTGAGCAAACAGTCCAGAAAAGAGCCAGCTATCTCCTGCCGTTCCCAGGAGAACTAGCATTTTTATTTCAGCTCCAAGCTGTCAAAGGATTGGAGAGTTTATGTCAGGATCCTGAATTAATTGCTTTAAGCCTCGAGGCTGACGCCGGCGTTTTTATCACCAAATGTTCGATAAAATGTTTCCTAGCACATTATGCAGACCCCCCCCCACACACACACACACACACACACACAGCCCCCGCCCCCTTCCACCGTTGCCTTCCGTAGTCGCCAACCATGTGGGTTTGGATACATACAGGATAACTTTGTGCAACACAAATGGTGTGTTTAGTGATTGTGATGGTGCAGTTCTGCGACTTGTGATGGGCCGCAGCACGGCTGTCACGATTTGGTGGTATGAACGCAAACAACAAACTTTTGTGTATGCGTGTGTGCGTGCGTATTTTCAATCCCTCGCCACGATGCTAGGTGCGTGAGCCAAGCTTGGCAAGGGAGTGAGTCATCTTACAGATGCCTCAATAAAGCATAGCTGTTCAGACATTTGGTGGAGCAGGTTTTTAAGGCTCCAAACTGTCCTTGGAACTGCCAAACTGACTTATGAACCGTCTGTCGTGCTCAACTGCTGACTTAATAACGTATACATAGTATACAATACATTGCGGGGCTGTACAAGTAACTTACCTGATTTAATTTGAAAACATTGCACCCTAATTTTGGTGAGATTCACACAACTGGGCCCTTCTGACACATTCGAATCAATCATACGCATGTCAAATACACAACTGATCCTCTGCTGAGATAAAACATCATTATGTTGGCATGGCTACATGTGTTGTCATTCTCTGTTGGCTCTTATGTGAAGAGGCCAAAACCAACAAAGGAGAAAGTGCCGGGCAGTTCCAGCCCTCAGCGCCACACGTCAATAACTGAGGCCGACGACGCCATCTGGAAATTGCTTTTCTTTACCCAAATGCCTCTGACAGCGTCGGGGACCAATATTGTGTATTTGCAC